GCGTCCGTCCGTCCATCGGTCTGACCTTCTGACTGACCGACTATCCCAAAAACTTGGGATTTACAAAGGCGACGCTATAGAGTCAAAGATGGTGGATGGCAGAAAGTGATAAGATCTGATAAGGGCTGATAACTGGCGTCGGAATGCCAATGTCACCGGTTTTGTTACGCCATTTGCGTGGGCAATAGAAATGCACTATATGTGATACGGTGTGAGACGGGGATACGAATGATGGGTGATATCAGGTGATAGTGTGTGATAAGGAATGATAAAAGGCGTCGGCGTGTACCATCATTTAATTTTTCAAGCCGCTCGCACTCACTGTAGTGTACTCGGACTAGGTGAACACAGAGCTGGACGATTGGTAGTTGATAGGAAGGATAACAATTGATAAGGGCCGATAAGGTGAGAAAGGGGAAACGTGACGGAAACTTGTGTCATGATGGCCCATGATCAGCACTAACAAATGGTGATGAAAACGGTGAAATTTCACCACAGGGATAGCTTTCCAGTAAGTGTACAAGTAGAGTAGAGAAGGGTAAGGTTGCGGAAAAATGAAATAAAATGCAAAATGCCTCGCGCTGTTAAATCTAAAAAGTTATAATATAATACTCAATGTGAGACGTAAACTTATTAGCCCTCCCATATTCGGTGCTATCATCTGCCGATTCTAGAACATGGTCGCAGGCGTTAGCGAATCGCACGATTCGCAAAGTCTGACATCGGCCTCAAAGAGAAATTATAGAAATGGGAAGTATAATAATTGTGTGATCAATCGCACTACAGTTATCATTCGTCAGGAAGTGCCAGTATATCTGGCAGGTAATTTAGGTCGAAATGCTTACAGTTTCCAAGCCACGAGAGTAATCGATACCCCGGAAGGAAGGGTGCAAAGTGCAGTGAGTAGTGCGGTAGCTCTGGAACTTAATGTTTAGCAAGCTGCCATGTTCCTCCGGAGCCTACCGTGTGAAGCGCCCGTAGCGTGCGGAACTAAACTGGTTTTAATTACATATAAGATAGGTGGAGTGCAATGGATAAATTGTTCTCATGTGGTGACATGCGGTGAACGTGTTGTGGCGCAATGCGGTAGCGACGCGGGTGTGTTTGGTGGTTGTCAAGCAGTTCCTTATTTCATGCGGATCAGCACACATCAAGCGTCGATATTTTTTTAAGTACTGAAAAATGTATTGATCAATTACGCCTCTGTATGCTACCTAATCAATAATTGGTCTTTCCTCCCTTGGCCCTTACCGCTTCGACTGTATGTAATCACAGCGAGAGCGTACAAATCTCCAATGAGATTCGGCGCTACCGCAAGATACGGGGGCATTGCAGTGGCAAAGCATTAGAGATTGCGTAAAACCCATCCTTTTTGTTAAAATCGGACTAAGCCTTAGAGTGAGATCAGAGAGTTCAGGGTGCGTGAGCAGTTTTCATTTTCCTCAAAGTTCCTGCCCCTCCTAGGCTCATTCCGGAAGGACGCCTCTGTATAGTGCGAGAGCGCCTGAAATTCTTCCCATTAATTCTCCTTAATTTCTAGAAAACAACATAACAATTTTAGAGAATCAAAGTAGGATTCCCCCTTGAGAAAGTTATAATTGTCAGTCATAGAAACGGGCTGCCCTCATTTTGAGGGTTCAACAAATTAAACGCATAATTTACACCAGGATGGCCGATTCCGTGGCGAAATCCTGGGTGGCCACTCTACCTTCGGTTGGCTGGCCGCTAGAATTACGCACCCAACTATCCTTCGCTCACCGGCCAGCTTGAAACATACCTTGAAGGCACGTTAGTGCGCTTGAATGACTAATTAATCGAGCCTTCCTCTTAATGCTCACACTGCATAAGCCCATTGTTTCTTGGAGCTTGTCGAGCCAGGCTTGCCATTCCCAGTGCAGTGGAGCATGCTCGTGTTTCAAGAATCTGGAGTTGATTTGAGATCTATAATAAGAGCTAAGAATATATGAGTTCTATATGGGTACCTATAAGTGACAAAAATTGCAGTCAAGTGGGAGCGATTGCAAAAGTGATGGGAAACACTGCATGGGTGCTAGAGAACCGACCTAGGGACAGATTTTACGACCTTCTCTTGAAATGTGCCAAATCAGAAGAAAGTGGATAGGTGCTGAAGGAAGGGACATGTGCCATTACAGCTGCAGTAGGCGTTTTAGAAATGACCCCAAGTAGACCCAAACGCAAAAAGAGGGTGATCGGCCTGTCCGGCAACCCTGCCCTTTCTGGTCTCCCTCATTCTATTCTCTCTTCTCTTCGGTGCTGGATAATCTCTCCCTGGCTGAACTTAATTTGCTGAAATATTGACAACGCCCATGAATGTACTAATTGGAAGCAGACTTTCGAGTGTTTTAAAAAATATTATGTTTTTTTTTTCGTTTTTCGGATCACCCCGCGTAACAATTGTAACTCTTCTACACCGTATTCCTAATTGCGAGATATCTATGGATCATTCAGAATATTGGGCTTTCAAGAGACTGCCCCTGCTGAAGGTAATAAAAGACGCTGCCTCTCGAACCCCGTCCTTCAACCGGGTTCGAACGCGTGAGAGGCTCTGCGACTCAGCACCTCATCGCCACGTGGGTTTACTCACATTAAAGTATTTAAATTCCCGTTAATCATTTTGTTTCTTAGGTCAATGACCCCATCCAGGTAGGCTCATTATTCAATTTTCATAACATCCTCCTTTTTCTAATTACCTCTTCGCGGAAGATTTATGGTAGCAAGGGGCGGAGCGTGTCTCGTGATGGGCGGGGTTTGCCATGGAACTTTATAATTCGTTCTGGAAAGGAGCCCAGAGACAGTGAATTGATGTAAGACTATCTCATCTCAGCGAGAAGAGGCGCCGTTGCCCCCTGGTGCATGCACTCCCCAAAAACTCATGGTGTCCTTACGCGCCAACGAGCCATGAAAAACCTGTAGACTTCACGGGAGAGTTTAAACGCTAATGGTGGTTGGATCGTGCACCGATGTGGGCGGAGATGGATTATCTGGGCTAAATCGGTACATTATTGAGGTGCAATTTCCCCACCGTTTTTTCCGCGTAAAGTCCAAACTCCTAGCTACAAAATTCACTGTATATTTCACAGCATCTGTTATACTACACATTTTCACAGCTCTTTTTCCTTTTTTGATTGATTTAGTCCATCTTCTTTATCTGAAATTCTTGTTTCCCGTAGATTTCTCATTACATTCGCTTTCAATGAGTGATTCATTACAATAGAGATTACTTGCAGAAAGAATCAGAGCGAAAATCCCATTTCGCTACTTCTGTTCCATCGCTGGAATTACACTGTTGATTCACAAAGCATATCGGCACTGCGAAAGCAGGTCAATTCCGCTGGTCGCACTGTTGAGCCAGAGAAGTTCTCAGCTGTCGGCAAAATTGCAATTACTGATAGGTAGGCAGTGAGATATGAAAGTAGGGTGCTTTCATAGAATGTCGTCCCATCCGTAACTGATCGTAAATGAATGGGCACGCCGCTGGGACATCGTCTCGATGCGAGCTCATCGTCCTACGAATCGAATACGTATCTAATTTGCGGTTGTTACAAGTTGTTACGATGCGACGAATAGACGATGGTTGCCCCTTGAGTAGCGTATTTGTAAACTTAACGGTTCTGAGTAGTGCTTCCTCTACTCCTCTTTTACCTTCTCTCCCCGCAAGTCATGAACTCCGGCTCCCAAGGGGATAGTCCTCAGACTATCAATAAATCTTGAAAGGCAGTGTCATATTTTTGAATTCATGCTCTGAAATGGTGGAACATGATGTGAACTATCACAACTTAACTGTTGTCGCTAAGGCCAATCTCAGGCTTTGGAATAGAGCGGCTAACGTCCGGTACCAGCCAATGGAGCGATTTTCTGGCCGCAACGCGACCGCGGCGCTAATGAATCGCGCGATTGTAAGTTTGAGTATCGGCCTAAGCCTGTAGTAAGCATAAGACAACCATTTCTGAAATACTTGGCGCCCACCGCAGAATTCGTGCGGTGGTCCTCCTGGTCCACATCTGGAGAGAAGTCATCACATAGCCTTATTGAACGCAAGAAGATTGCGATATGAATTATGTTGCTACCTTTGTTGTCCGCTTATTTCGATGGCGATTGCAGGCAAGCCCCCATTTTCTACTGTCGGCACCCTCTTACCGGAAGAAAGTACTTGCACATTCCAACTTTTCACATGTGTTCACACACCCCACAATCAAGTCACTGGAGCAAAGCCCAGACTAAGTATGCACATAGAATGTAGCGGAGTAGCCGGACGCCACAGTGGCGGCGCCATCACTTCAGGACTTTCAGGCCCTCACGAGGCTTCACCTGCACACGGGTTCCGCTTAGAAAAACTGACGTCAATAAAGCGCTCTTTCTTCGTTCACTGGTCCACACTTCTATTGTCTTACGATTTTCTCTACCCTCAGTCCTCTCTATCTCTTGTCCGCGACTGTCTGCACTAGAACAGAGAAGATTACTCCCCCTTTTTAGCTGTTATCAGATACTTTTTTTCATTTTTCGCCCGCTATCATCCCTAACCTCCACTCATCTACTATTCCTAGCGCAATATCCGTACTAATTTGATCGTGGGATGTGCCTTTAAGCGACCCACCCTATCTCTACCCTCTGAATTGGTCGCAGTTTACTGGATCACTGAGCCCACTGAAGGGCATCTTCGACGTTTTCCTTCCATTACTCCCACCACATCACCACCCCCTTTTTCCAATCTCGCCAGCAAATTGCTGGAGTAAAATACAAAAAAAAAACAGAGAATTAGGTGGAAGAGTGCTATGTGAGGTCCTAGGGTTGCATAGAAAAACTAGTAATTATGAATAGTGCTGGATCATATACCGTCATTGATACCATGAAATACGATAGTGGACGAGCGCAAAGTGTAACATTTGGGGAAATTGACCGCTCTTTGGCTCGCAACTTTGATTATGACAATCCTAGGGTTACCAATGTTGGCCGTGCCTCATTATTGGTCTGTACCGTAAACACCCCGCCCTGCCAAATTTCCACCTTCAGTTTCAAGGTGTTCCTTGACTGGGTCTTGTCATAGTGTTAGCGAAAAGTTAATAGACGAATGCACATCACGTGTATGTGTTCGCATGTTTTTTTTTTCTTCAGCCGTCGGGGCTGACGTATGATGGCGGCCGATATCGATTCCCTGACACTCGGCCTGCTCTCGTCGGTCCACTCACTCTCGCTTCAGCTCCGATTTTCGCTTCTGAAATGCTTTTCCAGTGGTACGTGGTGATGGCGCTGATTAAGCAATTATTGCAATTTCCGCGAAGAATGACGTCTCCGGCAGGTCCCTCGGCACCATTTTGGCTGCTAACGGCTGTCGGTCGTGGGAGGTGTTCATACTATTTCGTTGTATAGCTTCTTTCTGACGTTATACAGATTGCAAAGAAATTTAGGGTCCCTCGGTGTCTTGAACTTGTAGTTTACTTATCTTTAATTTGCCAGGCGGGTTGATGCTCTCTATCAAAAATACTAATTTCTCACACAGCAATTCATCGTCGCCTCGGCGTGGCATGTCCTTGTCCGCACGATTATCGATCGAAGCGCATGGTTTCGTACCGTCTTTATAATGCGTTGATTCTGGAAATTTCGTATCGTTGTACGTACACATTTTCTTTTCTTCTTTTTCTTCGAGTCCCGAAGTTATTCAGGTACCAGGTGAGAGAAATCGCGTTCATACTTAGCGTTTTGCAAAGAAAAGAACAGAAGAATCACCTGAATTAGATAGTCTATTTTATTTATTTATTTGTTATCACATTCGCAGCAATTTATGAATAGTTATGGGGAACAGTAACATACATATCAACCCAGATGGGACGTTGAGCATCTAAACCCAGCATTTTGATAATTATACAAGCACGAACCAATTTCTTTCTTTTTGTGATAATGTTAGGAATTTAATCTTAATGTTAGGAGGAATAGGAATACTTCAGGCTTAACGAGCGATTTTCAACTTTCCAGAGTTCTTCTCCCTCTTCATTTTATTCCAACAAAAATTTCCCTGTGCTTGTAATTAGTTGTGCGTGCCATAATCTAGAAAAGCCCGTCAAGAAAAACAAATTCTACAATCGAAAGAATGGGGTAGGAAGGAAGCCGCCAGCAATGCGTAGCTACCGAGTCACTAAAGCCAGCCATTGGGCCAGATGTTGCACCGAATCGCCCTCTCTGTTGGGATAGGACCCAGCTTGAATATACTTAGTTGGCAGACAATCGATTGATCGTCACTAGGGACAGGAGGCGGCGCCGCCGTCAAATAAGATGTACCGCCGCGGCAATGCACACACTGCGCTATAGCCCTACGCGCAAAACGTTTGAAAAAATGGGTTAAAGGCTTGGAGCGTCTTGGCAAATATGGGTATGATCTCTCGGAGACGGAGAACATTGTGCGAGCCAGGTGGAGGCCGAACATACGAAGGAGTGCATGAAATACCTTAGAAAGACATGCAGTCGAAAAACAAGGTGAGGTCTACAACTTGCGACTGGAAACCTCAAGAAGAATATAGTGGACCATTCACACTCTTACTGAGGGGAAAGGATTGACTCCTGCGTAGACCGCCACCTTAGGATCCACTGGTGCACAAAGGGATATTACTGAACAGTGGGGTTAGGGCAGTCACTTGACATCACTTGGGTAGTAACTGAGTCACTGATTACAACAAATCCAGAACACAACCAGGCGCTCATCCGGTAAAGGGGGGGGGGGAAGGGGGCATTGTGATGCAACGTCTCCATCCACTGCCCCTCACCCCCCTTCACTCCCCCTGGCTCACGGGGTCCCGTACTTCGAGAAACCTGTGCGCCAGGGGGAGTGTAGGCAGTCTAGGGGGTGGGGGTGAGGGCAGCCACTTGATGCCCCCCTTACTGGATGAGCGCCACAAAACCAATCTGTGCACACAATACAACATTAGGAAAAAATAACCTTGACCTCTTGGAGCAAGAAAGTAACACAGGAGATCCAAGATACTGGCAAGGAAATGGAGTTGAAAAGACACCACGGCACAATCTCAGATGCACTGCCAGGCAACAAAATGACAAATGAGTCACAGAAGCCATCCAGTCATAATTCAGCAAGCGTACCGTGACTATGATCCAAACGCATTCGCCACACAAATCGGTCGATACTGCACAATGTTTTCCTCCGTCTCCGAGAGATCATACCCAATATTACCACCCGCTCCAAGCCTTTAACCCTTGGACGACAATGGCACCCACCGAAGGGTGCCGCTATAACCGGCGCGTGGGACAATGGCACCCAATGGTGGGTGCCACTTTAAACTTTCCTTTTTCACCTATTTAAAACATTTTCAATATGTCAGTAATTATAAGCAAGTCTTCGTTGTGCTTATGTTTAGCATATTTTACAGAAATGTTTAATACTAGCTAATTTATATGAACTTTTAGAATGTGGCACTTCACTCGGCAACATATTAACTAGTGTTTTACATTATTGAGCTTAAGATGAATTACTGGTTAGGACCTCTACATCATTCCAGAGTTTTAAGACACAATTAGGAGTTTGAACTGTATCGAAGCTTCTACTGTACATATGAAAGTTAGAGTTTAATACCACCATCCTTTGGAGTCCGAGTTTTTCTATTACGAAATTTCCACTTCTGATCTCCGACAATTACATTACACTAAGGCATAAGACTGCAATCATATATTGCATACTCCCAAAGCCTAAATTTTCATGAAAACTGCTCTTTGGGACAATTTTGCCCTATGTTGTGCGGGAGTTGGGCGCTACGTGCAAATCCGCATTGTCTTCAAAGGGTTAACCCCATTTTTCAAAACGTTTTGGCCGTAGGAATATAAGTCGGCCAAGTGTGTGCATTGTTCGCGGGCGGTACATCTTATTGGACGCGCGGCGCCGCCGTCCGGCCCACTAGGGACGATCAAAATGCGCAGAGTATTGGAACGGCAGTAAACGCAGATTTTTAGTCGAAAATTAAATCAATACGTATTCAATATTTCTGGCTGAAATCTCCCTATACTCCTATTCCCAACTCTAAACTCTCCTAGTCAGTACATATCCTGTGCGCTCATCCGTCCTTTTCTACCTCTCTATTTACGTTTCTAGTTTCTCATTTTGTTGCTCTAGCTTGAGGGCATCAAATTGGGACCCTGATCCATAGCGCGGCGCAATGTGCCTTCCGGGCGGGGGAGTGGGCGCATTCTCCCCCCTAAATCTTAGTCCTACAACTGAGGGTTTTTTGCGAATTTGACGCAGTGTTACTGCCCACCGCCCCCCCCCCCCCCTACGGGGAACACATTGCGCCTATTGTTGCATGTGTAGCGCAATCGCCCATCGTCGCGATTTTGGCGATTGCGCAATCGCTAATGGACGCCTCGTATCCATCACTTTCCCTGCTGTCGTTGCAGCAAGAGTGCTCCATTAGTAAGTTGTGCTCCGATCGAACAACTTCCAGCGAGTTTGCAAGGCGAAACTCAATCGAGCGCTAGACTGTTCTTCTTTTTTACTCGGCGTCACCTGATCCAGTAATGTTTGTTTAGTGCAATCCACATGCTAGCATCATCATCTCTAAAGCGAAAAATAAGTTTCTAGCTTGCTTCCTCATGCTGCAACAATGCATCAATTGATGCTCTTTGGAAGTTTCCGAAGTATTCTATAGTATTTTTCGAATAACAAACCCTGTAAAAGAAACTCTTCGAGAACTGCTCTAAAAATTTTTTGGATTGGAATTTGAAAGTCAGAGCATTGTATATTATCTCAAATATCTACCTTTTGGCAGAGGCTTCATTTATATTGATTCTTTTATTAAAAAAGCGCAGTACAACGGAAATGTCGGTAGTGCCATTCTAATAACGTAAAGAGAATTCTGCAGTTCAACTTACTCAGATCCCCACACCTCACCCTTCCCACTTTCCTTGCACCCGTTTGCCCAACCTCGCACGACAAGCCTTCCACCACTTCGATCGATACGCCACGAAATATCGCCTCTGCCCCTAATCAACTTTATTTCAAACGATGTCGCATAAAAAATTTCGCGCTCTCGTGACAATGAGAAAAAAGCGCTCGATGCAAAACGCCTTTAGTCAGCTGTCCACACATCCCGGTGTTATGCCGCGATTCTGCGGCTATACGGCAGTAGAAAATACAGCTGAAACGAATAGCGAACGGCAAAGTCCACTGTCTTTTCAAATAAACTTTTACCTCACATGACCCCCAGTACTGAACTGATTGTATAATTACATCCTTTTTAGGTTCATTTCAGTCTTCCTTCCTCCGGTTACGATCATCCGCTTTGTTCTCATATCACACACTTTGCTCTTGTCGTTTCGCCGTTCAGCCTCCTGCGTTTTAATCGTGCTATTTGAGAGCCACAGAACCCCCATGAAAGAATTTAAGGCGTCATTTGTTTCGTCCTTTACGGGTATCGAAGCAACAGCGCCGGCGCGTCTGCCCCTTTTTGTATTCATATTGGTTATCCTTCTCGAACGAAGGAAAAAGCTTCGTGAGGGATTCTGCTTGGATACTACCTTGTTTTTATACGAACCGAATCCCCATTGCACGGAAACCAGGACATTAAACGAAAACCATTAAAGGCGATCGATCTTGTGCACTGCTAGAACTGAGGAATATAGACGGCAGTAGAAGAATACTTTCTATTCCTTCGACCGTTCACATTTACTCAAGGATTAGTACGCAATGAATAATCCCATATGTTTGTAAGTAATATAGTGGCATACAATTTTTAAGGCAATAAAGCGTTATCGCAACGAAAATTACCTTGTTTTATGGTCGACATTAATCTAGTCTTCTTCGTTTTGTGTGCCCATTTTATCTATTTTACTATCGAAGATATGTTTTTCAAATCTTGGTGTTCATATCCAGTTATGTCTTGGTGCAGGGGTATCATGATTCTGAACATTATAAAGGATATTGCTGTAAAAATTTTTTTTTTTTTTTTTTTTTTTTTTTTTTTTTTTTTTTTTTTTTTTTTTTTTTTTTTTTTTTTTTTTTTTTTTTTTTTTTTTTTTTTTTTTTTTTTTTTTTTTTTTTTTTTTTTTTTTTTTTTTTTTTTTTTTTTTTTTTTTTTTTTTTTTTTTTTTTTTTTTTTTTTTTTTTTTTTTTTTTTTTTTTTTTTTTTTTTTTTTTTTTTTTTTTTTTTTTTTTTTTTTTTTTTTTTTTTTTTTTTTTTTTTTTTTTTTTTTTTTTTTTTTTTTTTTTTTTTTTTTTTTTTTTTTTTTTTTTTTTTTTTTTTTTTTTTTTTTTTTTTTTTTTTTTTTTTTTTTTTTTTTTTTTTTTTTTTTTTTTTTTTTTTTTTTTTTTTTTTTTTTTTTTTTTTTTTTTTTTTTTTTTTTTTTTTTTTTTTTTTTTTTTTTTTTTTTTTTTTTTTTTTTTTTTTTTTTTTTTTTTTTTTTTTTTTTTTTTTTTTTTTTTTTTTTTTTTTTTTTTTTTTTTTTTTTTTTTTTTTTTTTTTTTTTTTTTTTTTTTTTTTTTTTTTTTTTTTTTTTTTTTTTTTTTTTTTTTTTTTTTTTTTTTTTTTTTTTTTTTTTTTTTTTTTTTTTTTTTTTTTTTTTTTTTTTTTTTTTTTTTTTTTTTTTTTTTTTTTTTTTTTTTTTTTTTTTTTTCTTTTTTTTTTTTTATTTGGATTTAATTTCTTTGTCTCTGGTTGTTTTTTTTTTTTTTTTTTCTGCTTGTCTTTATACTTTTGTTCAAGTATTACAACGACGCGCACAGACTTCGTAGCAGTTATAGCACTTCAAGGTAGCCGTTATTCAGCCTCTTTAGTGCTAGTGGGATTAGTTCCGCGTGACGTCATACGGAAAAAACATTTCTCTTTTCGAAATACCTACTTTCCAATTTTATTCGGCTGTTACCTGAGTTCCTTGTTGGGCCTAAACAGTGATATATCATGGGGCCAAATATTAAGTCGCTTCTGTGACTCGGTTTACGGACTACTTGATTTTTCCTCAATGGTCCTGCCGCGATGGCTAGAGCACAGACGATTAGAGAACGGGTGAATGCCCTAGGACTAAGCCTTGGAGAGGAGAGGGACCCGCGAGAGAGCGCAGAGGCGGTTTAAAGGGCTGAGTTCAAGTAGTCCGTCGACCGTGTGACTCTACAAGGATATCAATTTTGTGGCGCATTCTGTAGGATCGGTTATTGCTAGAAGTTACTTTCTCACATCCCTCTGTTTAGTCTTGGTGTGGTGACACGGTTGTACTACACCTTTCACTTTATATTCGGATATAGGACTGGCTCTTTCTATTTATTTATTATGACTGGCTTTTATTTATTGGTGGATTAGTGAAGGTGTTAGTGAGGTTGCCCTTTTACAGCTTGTTCGTGATGCGTTCGATCAAACAAATTGTGTTGTAAAGACCAAAGCATCGGACGTCGATCTTGTCACGGAAACGGATCAAGCAGTTGAGAAGTTGCTAATTGAAGGGCTTTCAAAAGCATTTCCGGATCACAAGTAGGTGCTTTGTAATCATTTGCTGTGTATGCTTCTGGCCCCAATAGCTTCTGAATGAGAAAGAGTCATAAGTGGATATACCGGAGAAATTGTTATTCAACAATCAATCAATCTGCTCTTTATGTTTATGTATGCACCTACCGCGTTCAAATTGCTTGGCATAGAGGTTTGTAAAATCTTCGTTCCTCGCAAACTGTCGATGGTTGCTCTGCCTGATACTTCTTTACTCGATTTTTATTTTAAAATTGGATGGTTGTTGGAAAATTTATCATCCAGCACAAAAACGCTAGATAAACACTGATTTTTCATCTATAATTTCGCACCTTTCCTACAGGTTTTATCAAATCAAGAATCCCTTTGAAAACCGACCGCGAAAGACTGGCGGGCCCTTTTATTGAGTTGCAAACGACATTATTGATTCCCGCTCCTTTTTTAAGGTTCATTGGCGAGGAGTCGACAGCTAACGGCGCCACTATTGAATATACTAATGCACCCACTTGGATTATCGATCCGATTGATGGTACGACAAATTTTGTTCATAGGTGTGTTTGCCGATTACTAATCCTTCCCTTAGGTAATTAGCGAATTAGTGGCAGTTCTTTTGGATGTCAATTCACCTTAGAATCTCTGAATTTGAGTTGAAATGGAATAAATTGGTTCATTTTCAAAGGATTCCTCTCGTTGCCATATGTGTGGGCTTAGCGATCAATAAGGAGCTCAGAGCAGGAATCGTATACAATCCGATATCGAGAGAGTTGTTTTTTGCACAGGTACTTTCTATTTGCATATGTGATGGATTGCGTTCTATTCTCTATTTGATCCGACCCTGAACTAGGCGTTGATATTTGAGGTCGGCTGTGGAGCATTCAAAAATGGATTCCCAATTCACGTGTCCAGCACGACTGGTAAGGCTTTGTTTTATTGCCGCTTAAGTGCATGCAAGCATTCCTTTGTGTTTCAGCATGTAATGATTCATACAACATCATTATCGATCGCATGGTCCCGCTCATAGCTTTCGCCGAACTGGCCTATCGCAGAGTAATAGAATTATCGAAAGAAATGATGCGCCCACGCTATTACGCTTTGTAATCTTATCCTGTGGAACTCGAAGTGGGAGATGGGTCATATCTGGGGTTGTCCTTTATTTCGATGTTTGCCCTGTTTGCTAGTCTGGAGTAAGCCGTGAACGAGTTCAAAGCGAAAATTGAAGTTTTGCGGACGCTGTGGCGATTCAGATCGATAGTGATCTATATGAATTGCCTTTCACCGGCTCCCATATGTTTTTGATCTTTCTTTGGATAATGTCCTATTTTTTATGGTTGAGCTGTTCGCAGCAAGCAAAAGTTTCAAGTGCTAAAATGCTAGAAGCTAATGCTTTGTTGAAATGACTTCCCGTGACTGGTACAGTTGCAATAGTCCTATAGTGAGTCATCTTTCGGAAGTCATTCTCGTAAGCATTAGTATTCTTCGTAGATGCTGCCTGGACGATTGTATAGAATCTCGATCTTGCATTTTACATTTCATCATCCCAGGACTTCTTCCTTCACGCCCCGCTTAAGTGCACGTTTGTCCGCTTCTATGGCTCCTGCGCCTGTGAAAAGAAGAGATCCATTGAGGTGGACTCAAGCGAGGATTAATCTCATCAAAAAACCACCATAACGGAATAATATTTTTCAAGAAGCCACCTCTTGAAGTACTCCTTACTAGGCTGGGCTTGAGCTGTTGTAATGAAGTCAATTCGTATTGAAAGAGAACGTTCATGGTGTACGATTTTGTTTTCGGCAGTTTGACAGTTGGTAACACTTTGAATGTGAATCCAACTTTTTCTTCCGATAAATCGGGTTTGGCTTTTTTGTATCAAAACGTTTTGTATGGGCGAGCATCTCCAATTCTGATTATACTAGTGTCGGCCTTTCCTGGCGGCCTTTCCTTTCCGCACCATTTTTCTGTAATTGTGGGTGGCATTTGAAGGAAAGTGTATGATGGTATGTGGGCCAAATTAGTCTATTTGCTGAATCCTATTTTCAACATGGCTTCGAGTCCTTGTAATTCAAAAGTACCTTTGTAATCTTATTGCTTTGGCCAGTACCGAAAATCTACGCCTCCCTCCTGTGTGCATGACGTTGTCGAAGAGTAGTATGAACTCTGGTAAATTCAAGTAATGCGAAGAAATTTCTCAACTAGAAGTATGCCAGTCGGTGCTGGTAGGAGTTCAATAGATATGTGGTATCTAGTCTATTTGTTGATGCAGCTGGAGTTTTTTTCAACTGTTTAATTTGCAATGAAAAGACTCTGAACTTTCAAATTTTCCGAAAGCTTCTCTGGAATAGTAAGCCATTAACTGAAGAAAGGTCAAACACTTAGCCTTAGTCAGTCTCGCGGCGCGACCCCCGTTCGAAACCCTGCATTTAAAAGTGTTTGGTTGCTGGTGTCACCCAATGTGCCAGGTTTTTGCTTTTGCAGAGTATTCTAGGAGCAATACAGCGATCGCGGTGGTTGGAAAATTTTGTTGTTCGGTGAAATTGAGTCCAGTAAACATCCCATTCTGCAAAGTTACGGCACAGCTTACCACTAACCTACCGCGGTATCCCACTTGAAGCAAGTGTAGTCCACTGGTACTAGCTACCGTATTCCTCGAGGCAATGCGGATATTGTGGTACTGCTGTTGAGCGAAAACTCCTCTGTTTGAACCCTCAAGTGGCAAAACGAACCCAACCTGTTATACCATGCTACGCGCGGCTGTGGACCCTTCCACTGTTTTGAGGCCTCATATGTTAAATTTTGATGCAGTTGCTGTGCTTTCATCGAATTCCCCGATATCATATGTGGCATTGTATCACAGGAAGCTTGTCCAAAGACCGCATTGTTCAGGAGCACCAGAAAACTTACCGAAAAACAAATAGTGCCCTATGCATGTTCTGTTATTGGGTGTTGTGTTTTTTTTTTCATTTCATAATCAAAATACGCTACAAACTAATAAAATGTTGCCTACAGCTCTCAACCGTTCACTGATAACGGCGTCGCTAGCGATCCATAATAATACTTTTTTTGGTGGAAGTTGGTTGGACATAGCTCAAGGCAATATGCGACGCCAAGTTGAAGCCGGTATCAGGGGGTGGGTGATTTTTAATGTTGCAATAGATATATTTTCTGTTAAAGCTCCAACCGTTGTTGACTTTATTTGTTTTTCACATATACAAGTACATATTCATTTGAAATTAAATCGATAAATG